AGGGAACGTTGGGTTTTTTTACCCTTACAACATCCTGTGGGACAGAAGAGATAGATCGCGGCAAGATGATCACCACAGCACCAGCTGACTGGCGGAGAGCCTTCTGGTACTGCTCATAGGAGAAATCCGCCAGCCGCATCATGACACAGCGGCGGCTCAGGACGTCTGCTTCTACAGTGCGGGCTTCTGTGTTAAGCACTGCACTCCTGGTGCCTGTGAGGAGAGAACAGCAAGAGGTTTTGTAAGCGATTTCATCGCATCCCCTTTGCTTGAGCCTAGCTCCTTCTCAGAACAGTCTTGGTGACAGTCTGCTGAACTTCAGAGCAGCCACAACCTGCAGAAAGCTACGTTCATCCCTTCCCCCTTGTCCAAGAAGGAACAGAGATCTGTTTTGTGCCTGCATCCATCAGACCAACATCTGTGCAGCCGTGTCCTGCCAGGCTCCCCTTACTCCAGCACTACCCAGCCTCAACCACCTTCCAGTCTACCTCCCACCACGACCATGCTGGCTACCCGTTTGCTCGCCTGCACCTTACACCTGGCAATACACGCGGAGAAAGCCTGGCCTCCTGCTACGCAGCCTACTGCAGCCTCCAGCTGTAGGCTCGTGTCTGCAAGCAGAGGATGCAAGCTGTGCAGAACCACTTTGTGAAAGGACGCAGGGGGTACCATGCCCATCCAAGGGCTCTTCTAGCTCGCCCACTGGGATGTTTCTGCGGCTGAGAAAATTATAAATGAGCAGGCTGCTTCCTCTTACTGCTCGCTCTCTCCTACTCTTAGTTTCAGCGTATCAAATTCCCCACATGAAAATGCAATCCTTTGGGAGAACAGCAGTCTGGAGGCTTGCCAGCAGCTCCAGCATTTTCCAAGAGAAGACCACAAGGACATCTTGTATAAATAGAGACATTCAAATCTACCTTACAATTTGTAATGCTCCAAATCCAATTTCTTCTTCTATAACAACTCTGGTACCTATATCAAAGACTTCATCACCCTGAGTGCCCAAGCAGCCAGGGAAGGAGGAAGGTGCTCCAGAAGGCATCTCAGCCTATGCCAAACAGGAGTGTCGCTAAAGGTTAAATTTAAACCTTGCTTAACTTAACTCTAACATTAGTTTGCTCTCGTCAAAGATCAAATCACCTAAACAAGAAAAACCTATACTTCCACGGCATAGTATCAGTGAGGGCTGTACACCAAGAAACAGAGTTAAGGCACGATCTAAATTCTCCACATAGAGCTCTCACACTGTATAACAAACAAATATTAACAGCAGCCCCTGATCAGAGAAAACCCATCCATGATGGGGATAACTCTTCCACCATTCCCAAAACAACGATGCGTAAACATAGCAAAGCATGGATCCAGAGTTCTGCTCCCAGCACAACCCTTGACACCTAAGCAGAGCAGACCCAACAGTATAAATAGAGACATTCAAATCTACCTTACAATTTGTAATGCTCCAAATCCAATTTCTTCTTCTATAATAACTCTGGTACCTATATCAAAGACTTCATCACCCTGAGTCAGCACCCTGACAGCACAGCACAAGAAGTTGCTTTTTTGTAGTTTCTCTACAGACAACTGTTTAATAATCATTCATTTACAATCTAAATAACTCTATTCTAACAGCATTAGAGGAAGTCCAAGTTTGTTCTTCAATTGCTCTATGACCTATGTTGACAATAACTCTTCTCCCCCCTGCAAGAAAAGGCTCAGCAGCAATCTCTATTTGGTCTTTTGGGGAAAGAATATGAGAATCTGGAACAAATAGCTTTTATCCTGAAGGACATCTGGCCTCAGCACACACATAGAAGAGGAACATCAGCTACCCAAAGGGGCTGGCAAGGAAGAAAGGAAATACACAATCCACCGAGCTAAAAGGCTCCAGAAAAAGAAACAGCATTAAAAGTTAATTGCAAGCATCTTAAAAAACAATGTATGGCTTTTCAAGAGTTCACAAAATATTCCAAAATACGTTGTGAGTACTTGGCTAGAGAGAACATTCTGGCAACCAAAGTCAAAGCCAGCTGAAACACGTGCCTGCTGCCCCATTAAGCCTGCCAACAAAGATTTACCACCACAGGAGAAGAGAGATAGCTTGATACTCCCATGAGAGAGCCTGCCTCGGATCTAGTGAGGTTCTCAACCAGAGAGGTCTCAAGACGTGGACACCTTTTGAGAAACTGTGATGCAAGACCCCAGAAATAATTTCAGAAAATCAGAAGCCCCAGTAGCATCTGTAGTGTTTACAAAGCATGCAGGCATAGCTGGCATTTCATAACTTCTACTGATGTTTGATCTTATGAAGATCTGAAAGATCTAGAGACCAAGCCTCATGGACAGTACAGTATAAGTGTGGGGCTGTAGTGCTGGACTGTTAACAGAAGTCTGAAACTCAGGCCACAAAACAGACAGCAGGAAGAGTCACTCATGGACAGAACACATGCCCTGATCTGGAATAAAATATCTATAGAAGACTCAGAAACAACACTTGATTCCGGGTTAGTGAGTACAGGGGGGTGGAGGCTAAGGGTTACAACACTTCAATGCTTCACAGAACAGGTTGCGTTTCTGACTCAAAGAAAGGTGTTGCACAATCGGCGGCCTAGAAGCAACAGAACAGAGGAACTGGAGGTCAATCGTAATGTGAAAGAAGAACTGCAAAAGAAAGGACTCTCAAATGAGGAGACGCTGGAGCTATAGACACTGCTAATTGAGACTGAAGAGCGAAGAACCAACCTGTCAATAGAGAAGTCAAAGGCAAGAGAACAAAACTGAGCTCACATCCAAGTTCCCCAGGATGCGAGAGGGCTGCAGCTGGACTGCTCAAAACACAGGGGGTTTGGCCCGCAGACAGGAGCCTGCGAGGACACAGCAGGGTCCCTGGGCACCTCCAGGTCACCATGCGGGAGCTCTCGGCACCCTCCTGCTCCTGCTGAGACTGGGCAGTAAAGCTCGGCCAGACGGGACCCACCTACAGCCTCCCTGGGGCCGGGGCCCGGCCGCAGCC